CTAGATTATATTTGTAACCTGCTTTTGAACTTTTTGATTGTAAATAAATTTTAAAAATGTATAGTGAAATAGAACCGCACACATTTTTAATTTTGTAACAGAGTTACCTGGGAAGAACAGAAGAAAAAAAACCAAAATGTTGGTATTAAGATATAAGACTGTATATAGTCAGCCTTACCATTAGCCTGACATGGTCAACGAGTACAGGAGGTACAGGGTCTAACTGCTCCTCTGGAACCTGTGTCAAAGCAATTTTACGAAGTTTCTTATTTTTCAATGTACCTGCAAATAAAGATGGATAAGATTATAACAATTCTAAGCTGTTGTTCAACTGCATTCAAAACAACAGAACTAAGTTTATTAAATGGAAATGTCTAGACTGCTACTCAAAGACTTAAATCATTCTTGCTATCTTGTAGAAAATGGAAGCAATGACAACATGGCTTTTATGCTATTTTTCATCAACTTTCCTGTCTCCACCCCATCATCAGAGCTAGTGTAATTTGTGGTTTTATAAACAGTATTCCCCTCCATAGGAATGAGGAGCGTCACAATGAAATTTCAAATCAAGCTAGATTAAGCCTTTCCTTCCCTGCTTTTTCTGAGTTTATGCATATCTCCAGTTGACCAGATATTCTGAGGTTTTTTATTTTACAACCAGGTCACTCAGGAAGTCAGAGTATGCAGCACAGCATACTTCCATCACAGGGTGAGTCGTCTGTACAGCTAATAGGTTGGCTTACAAAAAAATACAGAAACTGGGTTTTACATTTCTCTAACAACATTATGAGTTGATCTTGATTCAAATCATTTTTGGCCAAAGTTTATCCTGCCTTCAAAACATAAACCAATTATTCTAAGCAAAATATTTTGCACTACAGCTGTGCACACTTTAAAAATGATACAGATAAAAGAGCTTTAGCCGTCCCAGAAGCAGGAGCACAACTCTTCTGCTAATCATTCAAGTGCTCATCTTTTTTCAGGCTTCTGTGCAAAACACTTCTTCCAAATCATTTCTGAAATCCTATTATACATTTACCTCAATTACGAGATGAGAAAAAGAACAAAGAATAGTATGTATTTTGTATACCTTCTTTATCTGATTCAGTTTCTTTAATTTCCATATCTGTGCTTGGCGATTTCTTTTCATTATTGCTGCACTGTGAAATCTCACTACCAGACTGTAGTATGTGTTCTACTTCTGGACTATAATTTGAAGCTTCTGATTTTTTCTTTTGGTGGTCATCAGTTGTTGCCATTTGCTTGGGTGTAGACATGTCAGCAATGAGACTGGCATTCAACGATTCACATTTGTTATACTGACATGGTGGGAGAGGTGTCCCTTCAGAGGCCTCACCATTTAAATGGTCCCTCTGGGAATCTGACTCCTCCTTAGAGCACTTTTCTACATTCATCATAACCTTGTTATTTACTAGCAGGGATTCGTTGGAGCTCTCTTCTGTAGATGGAATGCTATTTTCTTTCCCAACTGTCCCATTATCAAGTCTTTGTTCTCCATGTATATCCATGACATCGCAAGATGACTCATCATTTGTTAGAGAAAGATCTCCTGTTTCCTCTCCGTTCTCCTCAGTGCAGTCTATGCTTCCTTCAAGCTCCCCATTTTCCAGGAGTTTACTATCCTCCCCTTGATTTTCATCATCTGCAAACTTGGCATCATCTTCATCTTTTTTCAAATTATTCACTTTTCTCTTTTTAATAATGCCTTTCCCCCACTGTGAACGTCGCCTTGATTTCCTCCTCAATCGAACTGTATCATTAAAAAAGACAAAGTATCTTTTAATATACTTAATTATTAGCTATTTAAATATTTGTTTTACATACTCATAGCTTAAAAAGCACTGTAAGATATTAATAAAGTCAGGAACATTTATCTGCAATATTAAAATACAACCTGCCTTGGTGACACTAAGGTCATCCAAGCTACCTTTGATTCTAAAAATATCAAAAAACATTCTACATGCATCAGTCCAAGCAAAATATTGCAGCAACCATCTGAATGGAAGTATTTTATTCTGCTGTCCCAAATGCCCTCAGGAATGAACAGCTTGGCAGATTAACGAAGATGGAGGCAGTTTTTACATTTAAAAAAATTATAATTGCAATAATGATCTGTTGAAAACCAATCCATGAAGTACAAATCAAAGAATATTACCAAAAATGTAATAATGTAATTAAAAATGGATTAATTCCTGTCAAAAGTTCAGTACCTTCTCAGCCATGCTGTGTGTTTTAAAGCAACTGAAAACTTTAATAAAGTTAACTGAAAAATAATCTTTTAGATGTAGCAAAACAGGGCCACAAGTTTTCAACCTCAGATATCTTATGGTTGAGCTCTATTCCAGATGCTGTCTGTGTGGTTCTATTTAAGAATTCCACCTTGAGATGGGGGTGGAGAAGTAATCTGAAACTTAAAAGAGCTTTTCTTCAGAGGAAAAAAGCCATTAACAGAGATCAAATAACCAAATCAATTTCTAATTGATAAATTAAGATTCAAAGATATTACAGAATTTGGGACTTTAAATTAGAATGAGTCTCCTAAAAGTACAATTCTGACTACTACCACTTGGAAGTCCAATTAGGAAACTATCTAAAACGAATGATTCTCATTCTACCTCTTCAGAATTTAAAAAAAAATTCCATTCTATCATGAGACATGAGAAGCTGAACCCAGAACCTTTCTATATGTAAATTATATGTTCTTGCATATGCCAGAGCACCTCATTAAAATCAATATTAGCAATTTAAACAATGTAACAAAAAAGAAGATATGAACTGCAGTCTGTCAGGCCAGCAAGAAAGACAAAATAATTCTATATCTTGAGAATATTAGTTGTCATTTGCAAAAGAAAGAACTTCTACCTTTCTGGTATGAAAATGGGCTTGCAATGCTAAGGAAAAAAGAGAGGCAAAGGTTGGCATATATTTCTAATATTTAGGGAGCAGGTTTTTAGAACTTTGTCCTTCCAAATGGGCCAGGTTGTACATGACTGAAATATCTGCAAGTCTCAATAGGCTATTGGACACTGTTTACAGAGGATATTTCTGAAGATGGAATATTTTCTTTCTGCAAAGACAATTCTCAAGACTTAAACATAAGCAGAATAGCTGTCCATGAGATTTCACCAATTTTACATGCTCAAATCATAATTCAACATCAAATGTAATCTAGAGTCAGCAAGTGAACTAAATAATTAAACAGCAAAATAAAAAATGCATAGTAATGTGCTTTTGACACCATCTACTGGCAATATTGAGCAACAATCTAGGTTCCGTAACTAAATAAAAATTCTACATAACACTAGACAACTCATGACCCACTGGGTCATCATTTCAGATATATTTCCTTACCTAAACAGAAAAACAGAATGACTAAGGGCAAAAAAGCAGTGGGAGTGGGAGTGACTTACGAATTGTTGCCAGCTTCCCCGTTGACTGGTTGTGGAAAGCTGGCAGGGAATGTCAGAAATCTTTCTTCCTTCCTTCCTCCCTCCCTCCCCCTCTTCCTTCTTCCTTCCCTTCCCTTCCTGCTTCCTTCCCTCCTTCCTTCCTCTTCCTTCCTTCCTCCTTCCCTCCCTTCCTTTCCACATATAATATAGGCTTGCACCATTTGCCCTCCGCTCATGACCCT